TGGGATGATGAAAACATAAAACGAGCCATACGTTTAATCTTGTGAAGTCAACGCCAACTTCGTGATTAGATGTACAACCACAATTATTAGAGAATCATAAGTATGTGTTAATTACAAATAAATCAATCCCAATTATTGCATATCTTAACTAGTATATTAATTTGAAACCCGCGCAACGCCAAACTGTGGAAGACTTCCTAGTTGTTCAGATTCCAATCACTCAACATTATAACTGTTGTTGATAATAAAAACAACACTCTCATTGGCCTTTACTTCGTTAATTATTAGATTTACAATTAAAAATTCACAATTTGGAGTTCATGACTTTTTTTACATTAAACAAAGAGACGTCCAGAGTTTGTTGATAGTCACAACTCAACAATGACACATTAAAATATTCAGTCTTATTTATGCATCTCAAGTTTCTTCAACTTTAAATCATAATAAGAGTTGTAATATATATAACTCTTTTTAAACCATCTCTTGATTATAACCATCAAACCAAAGTCAACATGTATCCAAAATTTCAGATCTCCGGTGAAGCTTTCAGGGCTTTGGGTTTGAAGATGAAGATTCTGATAACAGTCTTCTTTAGTTGCTTGCTAATTTGGTCTATAATGTTACTACCATTCTCAAACAACTTCAACAATCAACTTCTTGATGTTACAACCAACGGTAAAAATATCATTTATATTTTCTGTTTTATTGTTAACTCAATGAATCCTCCTTTTAACTTTATATTTTTCATTTTCATGCAGTAGAATCAAAGGAATCCGAAACACCGACGGACAAACTGATCGGAGGGCTTTTAACCGCGGATTTCGATGAAGGTTCTTGCTCGAGTAGATATCAAAAAACTTCCTTGTATCGCAAGCCTTCACCATACAAACCGTCTGAATACCTAGTTTCTAAGCTTAGAAAGTATGAGATGCTTCACAAGCGTTGCGGTCCAGGCACAGAAGCTTACAAGAAAGCAACAGAGCATCTTGTTCATGATGAGTATTATGGAAGCAATGGTGAATGCAGATACATTGTGTGGATCGCGGGTTACGGGCTAGGAAACCAATTACTTACTCTTACTTCTGCGTTCCTCTACGCTCTCTTGACAGAGAGAATCATTCTTGTTGACCAACGCAAAGATATTAACGATCTTTTATGCGAGCCATTTCCAGGTACTTCATGGTTGCTTCCTCTTGACTTTCCAATAGTGAAACAGATTGATTATGGATACAACAAGGAATACTCTCGTTGTTACGGAACAATGGTGAACAATCATGCCATCAACTCGACTTCAATCCCGCCACATCTATATCTTCATAACCTCCATGATTCAAGGGATGAAGATAAAATGTTCTTCTGCCAAAAGGATCAAAGTTTGATCGACAAAGTCCCTTGGTTGATCATTAAATCCAATGTGTATTTTGTTCCATCTCTATGGTTTAATCCAACTTTCCACACCGAACTAGTCAAGCTTTTCCCGCAGAAAGATAACGTCTTTCACCATTTGGCTCGGTATCTGTTACACCCGACAAATCAAGTTTGGGGCATGGTCACAAGGTACTACCATGCTCACTTATCCAAAGTAGACGAGACACTCGGTATTCAAATACGGGTTTTCAGACAAGACGCTGGATATTTTCAACACGTCATGGACCAGGTCGTAGGCTGTACACAAAGAGAGAAGCTGTTGCCTGAACTGGCTACACAAGAAGATTCAAAATTCAATATATCGAATACCCCGAAACTTAAATCTGTTCTTGTCACATCTCTGTATCCAGAGTACTCTGACAACTTAAAGAACATGTATTGGGAGCGACCAAGTTCAACAGGAGAGATTATACAAGTTTATCAGCCAAGTGGGGAAAGAGTTCAGCAAACAGACACGAAGGCTCACGACCAAAAGGCGCTTGCGGAAATCTATCTTCTGAGCTTAACCGATAACATTGTCACAAGTGCAAGATCTACATTTGGATATGTTGCATATAGTCTTGGAGGATTAAAGCCATGGTTACTTTACCAGCCAACGGGTGATGCAACTCCTGATCCACCGTGTGTTCGATCCAAGTCGATGGAGCCTTGTTACCTTACTCCTCCGTCTCATGGATGTGAAGCTGACTGGGGAAAAAACTCGGGGTTGATTGTTCCTTTTGTTAAGCATTGTGAGGATATTATGTATGGTGGGCTTAAGCTATATGATGAATTATAGATCTTGTTTATCACAGCTGATTTCACTGGATTATTGAGTTATTGAAACAAAGGAGCAATGTTGTCTCTCTTTTTTATTTGTTGTCTATAATAATTATCATATTAGTCGAAGTTCTGGTTTGAATTAAATTCAAAAAAGAATCATGTGGGTATGCTTGATGGAAGATCTTTACACATTATAGTTTACAATTGTATCCTCTGTATTAATATGTCAATGCATAGAAACAATTGTACTGCTACTGGTTTACAAGGTAGGTTTGGTCTATAATAAGTAATAAATAGCACGTTACACTTATTTATATCAATAAAGCATTGATTTCGTTTATATCCTCGTGAGTTTTTCGTC